AGTAGAATGTTCCTATTTGGTATGATATGGCACAGCAATTTTGGAGTCTGGGAATACTAAATATTTTTCCATATAAATTATGGTAACAGCATTCCCAGATTCAAAAAAATAACCTACTAAATCATACCAAATAGGAACACTCTATTTTCAGATAGCAGAGCAGATCTGTATTTACTTGTTTATTCATTCACTAAATATTAACTGTATACTACTGTATACAAACAAGATATTTCCATTGTAATTACTTTTTTTAAAAAATATTTATTTATTTATTTATTTATACAAGCACTGGGTACTGTCAGAAGTGCAGGAGGGTGAGAGAATTCACCAGAGCCAGAGCGGGGAGCAGAGCAGGCAGAAGGACTTAAGTACACTGCTGAGGGCAGCAGCGGGAGGCAGGAGAGGTCTGCGCGCCATGTGGGACCCTGCGCCATGTGGGACCCTGCACCATGTGGGACCCTCCTCCGGTGGCAGGGGAGCAGCCGGGGATCGAACTGGCACTGCAGAGGCTGCGGGCAGCTTCGCAATCCAGCGCTCAACCGCTGCGCCACCGGGAAGGCCCTCCATTGTAATTACATTTTAATGATCAGAAGCAAGCAACTTTTAAAAACAAATGCTGCATTCCACTAAGAGACTTGGATTTTAGGACATAAAAGAGAAGAAGGCAGAATAGTAAATTCACCAATAGAAGATAAATTCAGGCAACTATGCATAGCATATAGAATTTCTTCTCAGTTGAGGTAACAATGATTTACAACATTGAATGTAATTCAGAGGCACACAATCACACATCCTCAGATCCATGTGCTCACATCATGTCCATCACCAAAACACCTATCGTCGTCTTTCATAATGCATTATGCCCTCTTCCCCACTATTTTTTTCTCTCTCCCCCCTCTAGTAGCACATAAGATTTTGATGAAATTATAACTTTAGATACATCTTACAGAGGCAAGATTTTAGAGTATATCTTAGGTGCTAAATTCAAATGCTAGGGGGAAAAATGTGTTTAACCTTGCTAGTCTTTTTCAAGAATTTTTCCCCCGTTATGGAAGTAGTTGTTTTTGTTTCACAAAGAACATAAAATTCTTTCCATTGTAAATGACAGCAGCAGCAATCTTTATGTCTAATCTTAGAAAGGGAAAGAAAGAACAACTGGTAGAAATATAGAAATTTAAACTTGTCTGTTTTTCAACACAGAGAAAAACTAGAAGCCAGTGGATTTCGCACGACTAGAATGAGAAGTGCAAATCCCACCCACTTCCAGAATTTCTAATCACGTTCACTGACCTCACTGCAGACCAGAGTAAAGAAGATGGGGTTGTAATTACAGAAAGTAAAATAGTGATACATTATTATTAAAAAGATAAATAGGTGTCTGCATATTGCTCAGTTTTGAGAAACATGGAGTTAAAGAAGTGTCTATACTGAACATTACAGCAGGCTGAATGACAACCCCCCACCCCCAACACATGTACATCCTAATTCCTGAAATCTGTGAATAGGCTACCTTTGAAAGCAAAAAGGATTTGCAGCTATGACTAAGTAAAGGTGCTAGGCAGAGGATATTCCTGGATTATACAAGTGTAACAGGGTGGTCCCCAAGAAAGGAGGAAGTTCCAGGTTCCCTGCCCCACCCAAGGGAGGGTGGAGCTGAGCAGGAAGAGGAGAAGCTGCAGAAGAGACTAAGGAAGGAAGGAAGCAGGATGGAGCCAGGAGACCTGGAGGAGGCGCATGGAGCCTAGAGACATGTGAAGAAACTGCGCTTGTCTTTTGGTCATGGACTGGGTGACACAGATGTGGGTGAGACCCGTGGGGAGGTGACAATGGCAGCTTTTATCTTGATGTTGATTTTGCTCTTTTCCTTCTGGGCTTGTCTGGTTGTTTCTTTTCTGTGGGTCCCCACTGGAAGATGCTTTAGACTTGTGGCAGGCTTTGGGGCCTTGCTCTGGGCCGATCCCATATGGATGGAGTTTTACCCACGAGGGGATGGGTAACTTTGGGTGCTTCATTTAGAAACTAGACTCTTTGCCTTACCTGTATTGTTTCCTAGTTTTATTAAAGTTCCTTCCCATTAAAGTCTCATATGTTTTGTGTTGATGCGGCGGATGGCAGAACCCATTTAGAATAGGCAGGTTTGCGGGGCTTGGGCTGCCCCTCTCCCTGTCCTATAACACAAGTAGGCCTGATATAATCACTAAGGTCTTTATAAAAGGAGAAAGGAGAACAGAGAAAGCAGTAGAAGAGTGAGGGCAGAAACAAGAGATTGGAGGAATACAAGGAAGCAGTCACAAAGCAAGGAATGCAGGTAGCTACCAGAAGCTATAAAGGGAAAGTAATATTCTCCCCCTCAAGCCTCTAAAAAGAGTGTGGTCCTGCCAACACCTTGGTTTAGAATCTGACCTGCAGAGCTCTAAGATAATAAATCTATATTGTTTTAAACCACAAATTGGTGGTAATTGTTATAGCAGCAATAGGAAACCAATACACCACTTGATCCATTTGTATAGTATGATCTTAAGGTCAGCATAAGCCACTGTGTTTCCAGGAAGCAGATCCACTGTCTGATGTGATCAACAAATTGACTCTAGAATTATGGGCAAAGTAAAGTTAGATTTCGGTGGAAGAAAGAGGGAAATGTGCAAATGTCCCTCAAGTGAGGGACCCCACTGGAAGGCTCTTTGTTGGGAGTGGAACATTTCACAAATATTGGGTTCTTATTAGCAAGTAGGAATTTTCAGGGAAGGAACAGAAGCCAGGAGCCATGGAACAGTCATTCAAACCAGAATGTGACTTGGACAGGGGAGAACAGTACTAGAGACTGGCTGCACGACCACCTTTGCAGTCCACTTAGAACTGACCCTTGGCTCTGAATTTTTAAGTCTGATCTAAAACAGGAAAAGTGAGGTTCCCCAAAGATCCAATCAAGAGGGAAAAAGCAGATTCTTACAACACTGAAGAGTCAAGGCAAATCGGAGTTCTGCTGAAGGTGACCCAGGCTATAAAGCAGGGCTAAGGGCAAAGAGGTCAACAAAGGAAGTCCTTTTTTTCCTGTTCCTAACTGAGAGATTGGAAAGGAAATTAGGTCAATAGTCAAATAAACCCTGAGGCAATTATGATGAAAGCAGAAATACTGATTATTGGGCTTCCCTACTTTGGTATTTTATCCCCTAAGGAACAAGAAGTGATTACTCCCTCAGGGTCTTGAATGATGTAAGCAAAAACAAAATGGTGGTGGAAGGGTTACAAGGGGAGGTGGATTAAGTACTAGTAAATATAAGCTAAATGAGCTGCAGTAAGCAGTAATGGTACAATATTTTTTATTCCTGAATTCTTATAACCACACTCCTGTTGTTACAGAGTATAATCTCCACGAAAAGGGGAGATTCCATGTTTCCTGCCACACTAATGAAGTGTGGAGCTGAGCAGGGAAGAAAAGCTGAAGAAGACTTGGAGGAGGCACATGGAGCAGGGACCAGTGAATAAGTCACACTTGATTCTCAGCTTTGGACTTGCATCAGGGAATTGGGGGACATGGAAGAAATACATTGGTGAGAGACAGATGGAGAGGCTGACAATGGTAGTCTTTATCTTGATGTGTATTTTGATTTTGGTCCTTTCATCCCAGGTTTGCCTAGCCCCTTCTTCCTCTTTCCTGTGGTTCCCCACCAAAAGTTGCCTTATATTTGTGGCAAGTTTTTCGGCCTTAGAAGCCATACTTCAGACCAATTCTGTTTGCCTGGGCATTTACCCACAAGGAGATGGGTAAATTTGGGTCTTTCATTGGGAAACTGTTATCTTTTCTCTTTTTTCTTGTCTCTATTATCCTTTCACAGTAATCCTGGATTAGAGTATGCAAGCTTGGGGTTACCCAGTCTCTACTCTAACACTTCATTTTCACTGCTTCCTGGGCCTTCTCCCTTCATCACACCTACTCTGGGAAACAAGATTAAGTTGTTTTCAATTACCAGTCTTCTGATACTTTTAGGTTTAATCTCTTCCTGAACACAATCAAGTCAGGGCACAGTAGTTCATATTGCGGGGAAATACATCAAGCTATTGGTTTGAGTGAAAATAGAGGTAATGATGTTCCATGTTTTCACTCAACACTTTTTCATTGCACCTCACCTTGGTATTTGAGCCAGAACCCATTACAGGTCCCTGAAGTATTCTTTTATTAAGGTTATCACTTTAGTAATCTGAGAATAACTGTTCACTAAAAAGATAAAGATACCAGTCCTATTCTAGAGTTTAAAATGATCTTGTATCAGAAGCTTATTTTATGTAATGGAAAACCAATGATACTATAACTATCCTGTCACAATACAGAATGTTTATAATACAATTATCACATAGGAAATTCAGAATCTACCCTTTAAAATATATTATTCTTAAATAAGTATTTAAAGTGGTTGTTGAGTCTCATCTACATCATGATCTATTTTCTTATTCAAAAGCAAATGCTAACTCAGAATCCATAACAAACTTAAATTCAATTAGACTAAGGTTGATGTCATTATATCTAAAAAGATAAATGTTGTGAAGAAGATCCTAACAAAGGGACGTGTAAAATATTAAGGGAAGATGATTTTCCCACAGACTGTTAGTCTTCATTTAGATACTGCTAATTACAAAGTATGTCTCAACCTCTATAAGAAATAAATCTAGATTCATAAAACTATTGGAAACTTCTCATTAGAAAGGACCTAGAGTAATTTTCTTCAATCCATCAAACATGTGTAACTCTCCTCCACAAGAATTCCAACTAAGAATCACCCATACCTTACTAGACAACCTCTACAGAAGTGGAATACACTTTATTTTTAGCAGCTCATTTTTCCTCATTCTGAGATGGCAATCTACCTTTGTGTCCCTTCCTTTCACTCTTATGTCACACCTCATTCCTCTACAGTCATGTACAACAAGTTTTCCCCAAGCCAGGTCTCCCTAGAGTTATATCTTTTGATCTCTAGAAAGAAAGTTTACTTTGAACTCCTTACCATTCTTGTCCTTGTACCCTGGGTCACTCCAGTTTGTTACTGCTTCTCTAGTCCTCTGGTGTCCTCAACCCAACCCAGTATCCCATCTGAGGTTGGGTCTTCTACTTGGAGCACTTGGATGAATATTAGATTTTCTGTGAAAAAGGGTTAAGATTATATTCATTAGATGCAATCTCTAAATCAGACTTGCCATTGAATAGTAGAGATGTTTTCCTCTACCATTTCTCAAGAGTCTGAATTGTCTTTTTAAGTCATCTGAGTTGTAAAAGTTAAACAAAAGAAAGCAAAGATTTCCTAATAGCCACCCCCAAGAATATAGAAACAAAAGGCCAAAAATGACCAGATATGCTATTTGCTCAATACAAAAATGACTGGGACAAAAAAACAAACAAACAAACAACCAGAATATCTTCTAAGGATAGCGTTCCCTTTACAAACATCCCCATCTGAAGACAAATTAAAAGTAGATTCATCTTTGCAAGTGAATTGAAGAAAAGATTATTTTAATATTCTCTACTTTCCAAACAAAGACCTAAATTTACTACCAAAATATTTGCTAGGCTAAGTTTTAGAATGATTTCTTTAAGGCTCTTGCTCTTAACTCTCAAGACTTCCTAAGGAAAGCAGTGATGTTTGAAGCTGGAATGGCAGAGGGGAGAGGGACAGACCTATGATATCGGGAAGGGGCTGAGTTAACTTTCAGTCCTCACAGTAGAAAGGACAGTGAGACTTGAGCTCCTTATGTGAATCCTGTCAGTGGTTTGGGAGGGGTCTTGGCTCTTCAGTGAGCAATTCACTACTGCTCTAACACTACCTTCTAATAAAGAAACAAAAGACAATTATTCCCCTTAGAAGTTGGGTGTTTTGTTTTCACACCATCCCATCTGGGCCTTCTTTGCTCGGCCATCAACAAGGACTGATAGAAAGAAAAACTCACTGAGATTCCAATTACTGTTAATGTTGTCTAAGTGTTTTCACTATCACAGTCTAGGGTTTCAACTTTTTAATAAGTTTCCCATAATTATTACAAGTTTTTGGTCTAATTCCAGCTGAGGATTTAATGGGACTCGTTCTGAGAAAGATATAGGATACTGTCCCAATAGATGCTCATTTGGAAATGGGCCACTTGCAATTTCAAGTGTGCAGAACTGTGCAAGATTAAAAGCACTGGCAGTATAATTTCCACCTTGTGTCCCAGGCTCTGTGGATTTGTAGCTCATCCAGGCTGTCCATCTGGGGAGCAAACAGCATGTACTCCTTGATGAGAAACTCTGGCCAACCGACCAGCTGTGAAAAAAATAGATTACTCTTGTCATTTTTTTTCTCCTAGGTAATTTGCTGGGAGTAAAAATATAATTTCTTAGAAGGTGTGCAGTTAAAAGCAAATCCTAGAGGTGTGTCTGATTTATATTTAAAACTTCACTACACTTTTATTTATTAAATTTAATTTTCAATCATATCATGACTGTGATAATATTTCCTAATTCACAAAAGATGGAAAGGTTGGTTTCTAATATTTGTATACTAAGTAAGCACAGAAAGGAGGGTGTAGAGGAAAAAGAGCATAGAAGGACTCAGCTGGCAGGTTGAACTTAGCACGAAGAAATACACTTTTGCTGTTCCTACAGGTAAAGGAGATATGATGGAATTAAATAGCTGTCAAGAAAATAGATCTTCCTATTTCCCCCATGAAGTTAAAATGGTAAATGCATCTGTTTAAACTTTTGACATATAACTTCATCCTTGTGAGAATTCTTCAGAAGGTCATGCTATATAGATAATCAGGATAATACTGAGTTCTAGTGCTGAGAGAAGGATTGTTAAAAACAATCTGAATTGTGATATAATTACATCTATAAGTGTAATATGTTCACCTTGCTATGTGTTTTTAGCCATCCCAAGTAGAAGGAATGTGCCAAGTGAAATTAAACTGTTCAGTTTGTACCCAGTGGAGAGCTAATGATATAATTTGAAATTAAAGAATCTGTAATAATACTTCTGCACAGTGAGTGACAAAATATGTAGACATGAACAAGTGTTGCAAAGTAACTTGAATGTGGAATTTAAACATTATAATGCTGTGCCTCATTCAACCTATTGTCCTGACCCATTTTTTAAATGCCAACTAAAAACGTGTTAGCATTTTAAAATGTTGATAATTAACTTGATTTATTTTGACATTGGCTATATTTGACTATACACTAGTCATTTATATATATACATGCACACACACATATACATGAGACATGACATGAGGTTTGTCATATTTAAAGGTAATAAGCAGATGAGGAGGAGTTCAACATCATGAGTTACCAGGGCAATGCAATTTAAAATAATAATGACATACCACTCTGCATCCATTAGAATGATTAAAATTTAAAAACATGGCATTATCAAGTGGTGATAAGGATATGGAGTAACACGAACTCTTCAACATTACTGATGGGAATGCAAATGGTTCAAACTCTGAAAAATAGTTTCACACTTTCTTATAAAATTTACCATGTTCCTATTTTATGACTCAGCCATTCTACTCTAGATATTTATCCAAGAAAAAAAGAAAACAAACACCCACACAACGACTTATATATGAACGTTCTTGACAGTGGTTTTCATAATAGTCAAAAACTGGAAACAATTCAAATATCCATCATCAACAAAAGGCTAATTAAATTGAAGTATACTCATACAGGAGAATATTACTCTATGGTAAAAAAAGAACAAACTTCTGATACACACAAAACATGGGTAAAGCAGTAATGTTAAACACCAAAGGGTAACATATGGTTCCATTTATATGAAAGTCTACAAAAGAGAACTCTAACAATTGGTGACAGAAAAAAGATAAGTGGTTGCATGAATCTAGAGATGGGAGTTGGTTCTCAACTAAGAAGGGCACAAAGAAAATTTCTCGGTAATAAAATTTTTCTCTATTTTGATAATGGTGGTATTACACAGATATATAAATGTATCAAAACTCATCAGCATATATTTCATTTTATGTCACTGTATAACTCAATAAATGTTATTAAGACAAAAAAATCACCAATGTCTTAATAATTCATTAGAGTAAGTCTTGTAAATTATCAAGTTTCTCTATGGTTTCATGTTTCACTTCTGTCTTCACCAAATCCACTACTTTAGCCTTCTTGATGCACAGCTTAAATTTGCTATACACACTAAAGTATAATATAGTTGCTATTCCTTCTGCTTAGAAAACTGTTCTTTCTGATACCCACTTGACTCATTTCCTTATGCCCTTTAATTTTTTTCTTAAGTATCCTTTGTCTTAGTAGGATCCACTCTGTCCACCCTATTTAATAGTATACCCTTTCTAACAATACCTATTTAAGTTTACTCTCTTGTTTTTTGTATAACTTTTATCACCTCCTAACATACTCAATGTTTTACTAATTTCTTATATTTAATGTCTTTAACTCACCAACTAAAATATAAATGTCACAAGTTTGGAACTTCATCTGTTTTTCTCCTTGCTGAATCCTCAGTATGTTGGCACATGGGAGACACTTAACATATGTTGGTTGAATAAATGAATAAATAAACATATGAAAGAAAAGGAATTAACTATATAGTCATAATACTAAATATAACAAAACTGAATTCTCACATCAAAAGCAAAGAGAGACTGTCATATTAAGAGTATGAAACAAAGTCCAACCACATTAACACAATTAACAAAAGACAATCAAGTTTGAAAATGATTTCATAACAGACCAATGCAAACAAACAAAAGCAAAAGCAGCAGCAGCAATGTTAATAAGTATTCTAGTGTAATATAGTGAGTATTACACAATTTATGAAGAGCATATCATCAGAAAACAAAGCATATAAAATAAAAAGCAAAACTATTACAGATAATACAGAACTTGATAACAATAAAAACACTGGAAAACATTTTAAAGCTGAGAAGATCTGGTAGGCAAAAAATTAGCATGAATAGAGAGGAACTGAATGAAATAATCAATAAACTCAGTTATGTATTTATTTCTCTGTGGAACATTGTCATTTCATGAAAATATGAAACATAAAATTCCCTAAGCAAGGTATGTATCTATGCTGTTTACTCTGTAACACCAGCACTTAGAGAAGAGCCTGGCATATAGTTGAGTTCAACGAATAATTTATTGAATGAATACTTGCATTCGAAAAATTTGACTCCACACTTGATTAACAAAATATTTTTAACAGATGCCTTTAAAGTAGGCAAGTCAAAAATATAAAGAAGAGATTAATGTCATACTCACTATCTGGAAATTAATAAACACACACCTATATCACAATTGGTTGAGTTGTGGAAAAATTCAAGAGTGAGATTTTAAATTATCTAGGAAGAAATGGGGAAAAAATACTTTATAACACAGCAAAAGATGCACAAAGGGCATTAAATGCTTCATTTTAAGCTATAAAATTGTGTTATAGCAAAATATAAATTATCAAAACTACCTCAAGATGAGGTTGACATTTTAATTTATTTTTTTTATTTATACAATAGCTGGGGTACAGAGGGTGAGAGGATTCACCAGAGACAGAGTGGGGAGCAGAATAGGCAGACAGACTGAAGGCACTGCTGAGGAGAGCAGCGGGCGAGACAGGAGAGGTCTGCCATGCCATGTGGGAATCTCCCTGGCCAGCCGGGGATTGAAATCGCTCTGCATAGGCTATGGACAGCTTCACAGAGCTGTGCTCAACCCTCTGCGCCACCGGGGAGGCCCCTGAGGTTGACATTTTTAATTAACTGTAGTAAAAGAAATGGCATTTGTGATTTTAAAAGATGTTGAAAAAATTGCCAGGACTAGATAGGTTGACAATTAAGTCCAGCAAGGTAAGGAAGAGTGTATTTCAGTGTGATATAAACTATTACAGGTTATAGGGCAAAGGACAGCCCTCAAAAGAGTATTTCCTCAATTCATATTATAAAGCAATGAGCACAGTTCTAAACAGAAAACTACAGACCAATACGATTCATGAGTTGCCCGCTAAACAAAAGAAGCAACACTCACGTGACTAAAATAATAGAGAAAAGAATCTCCACAACTTACTATTCTAGCATCTAGAATACAATACTCAACATGAGAAGAAAGAAAATGGAACACATTTTCAAGAGAAGAAAATCAACCAAATCTTCCCCCAAGATGAAGCAAATTTTGACACCAGTTGATAAGGATTTTTACATGGCCATTATACCTATATTAAATTAAGTTAATTAATATGTGCTCACAAATAATGAAAATAAAGGAAATCCAGCAGGAAATTGAAAAAAAAGAAATCTGAGAGCTGAAAATTAAAGTATTTGAAATAAAATATTTAATTAACATTCAATGAAGATCAAAGAGGAGAGCATATGTATACTTGAAAATACCTTAATAATACTGTCAAATGTGAAAAATAGAAAACATAGTTTGAAAAAATGAATAAAGCCTCGAGGACCTGCTAGATAAAATCAATCAGTTTTAAATCTGTGAGCTTGAAATCCCGGAAAGAAAGGGAAAAATGAGACAGAAAAACATATTTAGAGAAAAAAATAACTTAGAACACCTCGACTTTTATGACTGGCAAAATTTATAGACACAATGTGTTAAGTGAACTCCAAGCAAAACAAAAACAAAGAAATTCATGCACGGTATATTATAGCTAGTTAGGTCATGAAGACAAAAATGACTAGCTTCCAGATACCCATTGATGAGATCACTGTTCAAGCCATTTTTTCTGATGGTGTTCCTGTCTTTGATTATTGGTGTGTGAGGTCAATCAGGACAGCTCTTACCATTAATCCTGTACCAGCAGCCTCGAAATCATCATGTCATCTCTCAACCCCAGAGAAATCATTCCTTAAATGTCTTTGAAATTCAAAAGCATTTTTTTATTCAAACAAACTTCTAATTCATTTACATATTTCAAATATCAGTTCTGAAATATTCATCAAGCATCAACAATTGTGTGCTAGGTTTGGTGCTAGGCAGATGATTATACCACCGCCTCATACCCTTCGTAAATGAAGCTGAAAATAAAAAAGCTCAGAATACAGCTCCTCTTTACTTGCTATCTAATAAGGATAAGTTAAGTACACATAAATTATAAAAATTATATATAATAGATGAGGCACTATTATGCTCCGTACCCAAGGTTTTCAGTTGGGGGTGAAGAGCATGCTTTTATTAACCAAACACATCTCACTCAAGACTGTGACATGCACAGTCCACCCCAAATCCCGCTAAAAAATGGAGAGCGATACTGCCTTGTGATTTACTGCCTTTGATGAAAGAATT